AACAAGCGTGAAGAGACAATTAAATATGTATTTCCCTGTTACATTACAATATTTTTGAGAGGTTTAGAGTTTTTGTCAGTGACAAAGTTAGGGTCATATATATTTATTTATTCATTCGTGGGGTATTGCCTTTGATATAGGTATAGAAAATATGTGCAATATGTATGCTATTCAAATACGTATACTATTCAAAATATGCATACTATGAAAATATGTATACTATTCAAATAACTTGAAGTATGGTAACAGAAAAGAAGAGGTACAAAAATAAGAATAAGAAAACGAATAATAGTAATTAATTAATTAATTGCAAAACAAGTGTTTGTAATAGAATATCCAAGACAATATCTTGATATACGCATATAATTTCCATAGGCAAGATTACGTAACAACCTTGGTTCGCCACACTCAAGATTATCTATTGATTTTTGTGTGTAAGGGGACCAAACAACCATTGCATACTCTACAATGAGTGGTATATTAAAGGAATATATAATGAACAGTGCCTCCCCATTTTTTTTTTCCCGCAAAAGTAATAGCAAGACACATCTCAGGGTGTAATATCATATCATTTTGAATGCACTAGTTATTTATGACTGATAAATCTTGTTGCAATTTAAATGTGTCCTCTGCATTCGAGATCCTGCAGAAAACCTTTGTATTATCAGCAAATAGAAATATATATTACTAAATTTAATAACAGTAAGAAGATCATTCTTCAATAGAAAATAAGTAGAGGATTAAGTGGGAACCTTGTGGAACACCAAGGGGAACAAAAGAAATCTGAACAAAGACCAATTAGGGAAACATGTTTTCTTGTTTTTCAAATGTGATTTGATCCAGTTAGGTATTCTGAAAATCTTACCCTACCCCTTTTTTGTAAGTCATCTCCAATCATCAAGTTTTTCATTCAGCAAAAGCTTCAATAAATTGTTCTTTAAAACTATGGTCCCTGGAAAGTTTATTTAGCAGAGACTTCTTGATAGCCAGTGTACTAGATGTAGAACTTCACCCTTTCCATCACAAAACAAAATGTTCTAAATTTAAAACTTCATTATGTTCAAAAATTGCTATTAACTTGATTTCACTGAAATTTGAGAAACTGTCAATGACATTTGAAAGAATGACAATTTCCTTTAAAATGAAAAAAACATCAAAAGAGAATTATTCTTTCAATTGTGTTAGTGTTGGCGCATTTTTTTACACATTTTTATATGTAATTTGCATGTAAGCTTGATTCTTTTCCACTTAAAATTCTTAAAATTTGAATATTACTGAATGAAGAAAGAATGTTGAAGTGTAAATTTATTATTTCTTAGTATGTTAAATTTAGTCATCTTTTATAATTTACATTTATCCATTCTTCGTAATGTTCTAGATGGAGAATTCAGTCAGCTGCAACAAGAGATCATCTGCTAAGTCTGTCTTCAAATATGGAGACCAGCCATTTGGCAGATTCGAAAGTTAAGGTGAAATATTTTTTTAAGTATTAGAGGTAAAGCCATTTGGCAGTTCAAAAATAATGGGACAAAATCAAACTCCCATATTAATATTTCATTATAATCAGGGAACCGAAAATGAATTGTAGTTAAAAAACAAAATATGTATGTATGTATTTTTCCCCCCGAAATATATATGAAAAAGTAGAAACTATGTAAAATAAAAATGTCTACCTCTACAGAAGTAATTGAACACCAGTCTTCACCTCACATAAGATTTTTAATCAAAATTGTAATACTATAAGTGTACTACAATGTTGTATACAAGGAGCTAGGCTTAAGTGAATAGTTTTTCCTTGTAGCCAGTGATGAATCCTGGTGGGGGGGAGGTTAAAGGGACGTACCCCTTCCCCCCAAATCTAACAATGCAATAAGACAATGATGTGTACAAAATATTTGTTAATTTTGAATCGAATTACGAATACACTGAAATATGAATAAGCATGTTGTTGAAATTATTCCTGCTTCAAAAACATGTGCTCTTCCTTGATTCCAAGTACATGGTTTCCAAGAGGCAGAAGGTAAGTTTGATAATTGAAGTATAGTGGTCAAAGAAGTGCAATAGCATTATGTTGCTTTGTAAGGAAGATGATTTGGTGTATAAAGACAATAAAATGTAAGAAATATGTAAAAACCATGTAATTATACCAAAATGTGTTACATATAAATGGTTTTAATTCATACAGAACATCTTGTTAACTCGAAAAAATATTGAGTGCAGGTATTTTTGTACATGATGAAAATCTGCTTCATAATTATAATGAATAGTATAACACAATTCAATTTCTTTAATAGCTAATTTAAGATTTTTATTTCAAAATTTCCTTTCTTGTCAGTAACGAGTTCTTAAAATGGGATTTCAAGGTCCTCGAGTGAACTGTGAAACTATTTTAGGGAGACCCTGAGGGCACTACCAAATTTTGGTCTCTTTGCGATTATCAAAAGGATTGCAAAGTAGTATAAAAATATTGTCAGGTATCAATATTTTAATTCAACTTATGATCATTTCGATCGCGTAGCGATCATCCTCAGAGCTTGCAGCTACTGGGCCGAAAACAAAGTTCTGCGAATTTTGAAAGAAAGAAGAAAAAAAATCGCAGAACTTTGTTTTCGGCCCAGTAGCTGCAAGCTCTGAGGATGATTGCTACGCGATCGAAATGATCATAAGTTGAATTAAAATATTGATACCTGACAATATCTTTATTTATTTATCATAATAAAAAGGTATCTACTTCACCAACAATCCAATTAAATAGTATAAAAAAATGAAAGAGGTCACCATGCGAGAATTAGGACATGTACAGTAAGAATTAGGAAACTCTTACTTGCCGGTGTTGTATTTTACTAATTCAATTTCCGTGACTAAGTCCAAACCCACTGAAACTGCAAAACTGAATTGAGTGCTGGAAATTCTACCACATTAGGCCATCAGATGCCATTCCAATAGCACCACATTTTATAGTGACCTGGTCGGTTTTATATTTTTTATTGTGTATGCTCGAACTGCGTAACTTATGTCGTTACTTTGCACTGTTATCTTACGGAACATGTAATTATATTGTAGATAATGTGGTGACAAAGGTAGGAAAAGTCGAATATTTCAGAAATTATTGTGAAAATTCACTCTGCCTGACATAGTTAAGAAATTCATATGTTTAGTTATTTGTTAACTTAGCTCTAAAATGACTAATGCACTGAATTGTATGTGGAAAAAATTGAGCTATGCAATGAATGTACTACTTAAAAATAAATATTTCAGACTTCCAGATCATCTGCGGGAAGCACGAAGACCAGCGATGCATTAGGCATTATGTCTCAGCAAACTGCTGTGAGCCCACCTCAAATATTGCGACGTGATTCAGAAGACAAATGGCATCACGCTCTTTGCATTAATTTTATTCAAGAATACAAACAGTATTTGCAGACATTAGGATTCATTCCTATTCAAACAGAAGCTCCAGCCTCTAAGAAATCGTAAGTACTTGTTGCGTCTTCTTCTTCTCCTCTTCTCCTTCTCTTCTCTCTTTTTGTTCCACATTGGCCATCCAAGGTCCACATGTACATACCACTTGTACCCACTGAGGCCCAATTATTTTTGATCGGGGGCAAATGCATGTGACCTCTTTGGGGGGTTTAGCTCTTTTTTGCCAAATCCATTTTTACACCCTAGGATTGTTAGCCCTGGGGGATGTAGTATATGATGATGATGATGATGATGATGATGATGATGATGATGATGATGATAAAGAGTGTAGGGACAGTAAAAAACATAGACACGCACATAAACAACCATGCCCAAGGTGGGACTAGAACACATGATTCTTCCATCCGAAATTGCCAAGGCACTACTACCTCTATCAGGATCAGCTGTTGCTTAAAGTTATTTTTATTATTATTGTTGTTGTTATTATTATTATTATTATCATTATTATTATTATTCAATGCAACAACGCACATATCCTATAATTAATATCTTTACCAGTACAGTAATAAAAATTATTATTAATATTTATTCTAAAATGTCAATTATTGAACAAGAAGAAACAAAAATACTTTTTCATATTTTTAAAGTTTGTGTTGAAAAATAGTATTGATGCAAAATGTTTTAGAAATTGTTTACGTATGTGCAATTTTGTAAATCTTGTAGGTTTTTCCAATGTCAAATTAAGAACTTAAATTTTATAAATAATGAAAATTATCTGTTTAAAGACATCCACCTTGCTCTTCTGAATTCTTTAATCTTTGCAAGGACTGGCAGTATCATCTTTCTTGAAAACATCCAAGAGCCATTGAAACAAAACATGAAACAAAAATGGCCACTATTAGTGAATCATATACAATTTTTTTAAACCCCTTTGAACAACCAAACCACAAGGGAATTTACATGCAAAATTTGATTTTCTTTTTCTGAGATAGTGGAGCGACCAGTGCTGGACAACTTAAAATCGATTGACCCATAACGATTGAAGGATTTGGTAGATTGAGAGTAAGGATTTATCATAAGTATGGATTCAGATGAAATTGTTTTTATGCAGTTACTTACCATGTGATTTTAATGGGATCTTAGGAATAAAACACACAATGAATTAAAATATAATACACAATGAATATAAACACACTACAGTGCTATTCAATTTACTCGTTTGAAATATCTCCTCCACATGCAGACACACACATTGGTAAGCATGTCTTGAATGATTTATAAACTGTAAGCAGTGATTCTTCTTTCACTTCCAGAAGGTTTGAGAATTCTACAGTCAAAATTGAGATAACAAGTTCTTACCTACCCATCTTGTCTATCACATTCTATGCAATGTCCTATTTGATAGAACCATTCTTCAAATGTTGATTGCTATGGGATAATGCAGTTAAAATATTGTGCTAGTGTGTACACACTTAAAAATATTACTTATTCCTTGTTTTCTGTTGAATAAAATAGTTATTCCCTTTAAAATCATATTTCTCCTATAAATGTGAGTATGACAATTTTATTTGTTGCAGTGTTAGACCTGGTGGGACCAAGGCAAAAGAAGTGCATTACAAAGAATATCCAGAAAGTAATGTCTGTTATCTTCAAAAATCCATTTTAGGAGGAATTTTACTATTTGAAATTTCAATGTGTGAACCATTCTTTGTTGCAAAATTGCATGCCTTGGAGTGCTCTCGTCTTCAGTCAAAAACATCAAGTGCATTGGTTTCTCAGGTATGTATTACAGTGATACATTTTATTCAGTGGTAATATAAACTAGCACACAAAAATAGATTCATTGAGAATACTTTTAATAATAATAATAATAATAATAATAATAATAATAATAATAATAATAATAATAATAATAATAATAATAATAATAATATAATGTATAGATGTACATATAAATATGGTTGACTTTTTTCTTATTATTGTAACTTACAATTACTACTACCACCACCACCACCACAACTGCCACTGCCGCCACAAATGGATACAAGCAATTCCAAATAACTTATTCATTCAGATAATTGAACAAATGATCATAATAGCAGTTTTAAATTTTTTTCAATTTCAGGAATTTTATAGAAAAAGGATTAATTGATGTTGATTTTAATTAATTTAAATAAGTTAATTTTCACCGGTTCAACTTAGTCATTTAAAAATATGACATATATGTGATATAATAATATAATAAACATTTTGGATTGGAAAAAGGTTGATTTAAAAAATATTACCTCTTTTTCTTCGTTTCTCCCTTCTTTCCCAAAAACATTTGTTGATATTTTCTCACAAAATTCAAACAAAACAAGTTTTTTGAAAAAAAAATATTAAAAAATTATTTTTATTGTGTCTTAGAGCATGGGAACAAGCCCAAAAAATCTTAACGCTTCATCTCCAACACCAGATGTGATTTTTACTTTCTCGCTACCGCTACCGCGGTAGAAAGTTATGCAATGCTTTGCGAAAAAAACGCGAATTTTCGGCAGAAAAATTCTTATTGCAGGGCATTGACAACGAAAAAGTGGAAAAATCCAGATGCTATATTTAGAAAAAATTCTCTAACACATAGTATAACTGATAAAAATAATCGATTGAAACAAAATGTGTCTGTGAAGAACACTAGCGGCTATATTGATCAGCCGATTTTCTCCAAAAATTGATATTGCCCCATTGATCTGGCTGATGTCGTAGTCCCTTGAATTTGAAGCTGAAATTTAAATTTGGGAGGTATTTTACATGAAGCCCCTGGGACATTTTTAAAAATTTTCAAAAAAATTGCTTCATTATTTTTTATTAAATTGTTGGATAATGTAAACAACGTTTAAGAGAATGGTGCAGCTCTCATTTTCGTTGAAAACTCTGCATTCTTCAAAAATTGAAAAAATTCAAAATTTTTTCACCATCTTCCTACAACTAAAATATTAAAGATAGAGATTTTTTCCCTTGATAAAATCTGTTCCTTAATGATAGATTTTGAAATAAGGTCATGTACAAGTTTTCAAAAATTTAAGTATTTTTTGCATAATTTTGCATGAAATATAGGCAATTTTTAATTTTGTTTAAACAATGTTTTTTTTTTTTAAAAAAAACGGCTTAATCGTTTTGAATTTAATTTTCTTGTTGGATAGTCAGAACGACATTTACAAGAATGGTGCAGGTTTTGTTTGAATATCCTAATTTTTCAAAAATTGAAAAAATTAAAAATATTTTGGTGCCTTCCTACAACTACAATTATGAAGATAGTGTTTGTTAATGAAATGTGTTCATCGAAAACCAATCTTCAAATTAAATCAAATGTGATTTTTCAAAATTGTGAGCATATTTTACATAAGGTGGAAAAGAATTTGAAATGGTAAATTCGAATTACCAGCTCTTTGTTTGAGGCTGTCTCAGTCTATAAAAGTAATTTGAGAGGCAGAGGCAGTTGGATGTTCTGAAAATCCCTTCTCATTGTTTAAATATTAATTAATTTATTATAACAAATCATTGAACATTAGGTGCGAAAATTTTTATCTATAATATTTACAATGTAAATGCGTATTATGTAAGCGTTACAAATATTGCGTGGAAGAACATGATTTCTCGCACCCATTTACTCGAAGAGCAAAGCAATATCCTGGTGATCTAATTGGAATATATATATTAATTTGATCGTTTCATTCAGGGCCTAGAGGCTATTTGAATTTCTAAGATTAATTGTGGTGGATATGTGTGTGGTATTGCCAACTTTTATTTTAATTTTGATTATAATTTTATTATTATTATCATTTTAATTATAATGTACTATTGAAAATGATTTTGTAATGTGATAATGTACACATTTATATTTAATGTACGATAATTTGAGATTCACTTTTCAGCTGGCCACTCTGATTATGAAGTTGCAATCTAACAATAGGAATATCGCGATACACTGTGAAGTTCATAGAATAATCTGTCATTGTCAGGCGGTATCTCTAAAAGAGTAAAAAAAGGTGGTATTAACAACCAGGACAGAGTGGATGTCAATAATGAATTTAAATTTTGTATTTCTGGTGTTAATATAAGGAAAGGTGAAAAGAGCTTGGAGCCTGTCATTCAAATCTTGAAAAGAAATATTACTTTTAATATTATGTAATCATTAGCTCCATTTTAAATTGCACTGATATTAAAATGGTATTATGATGGCAGCCAATGGCATTAATATAAAAAACTAATCATTTTATTTTCGACTAAAATATGCATTGCACGTCGTGAATACTCTGAATTCAATTAGCTGTTTTTGTTTAAATGTTTGAATTTAAAGAATTGATGTATTTTTCACACTTCGTTTCTTTAAAAATTTTACAAATTGTTGTTCAAGAGTCAGACAGAAATTTTCATATTACAATATTACATAATCATTAACAATATCGTGAGAAAGTATGTGCTGTTGGAACACCACCAGTTTCAGATTTTTTTTATTACATGGCATTAATTAAGAAAATAAACATTGTACACTAAGGAAAGATGATAATTTTTGGCAGATTATAAAAAAATCATTGACACAAAATTCTGTAGGTGCACTTCTAGTGGGTAGAGAATTACACTCCAGTCCTACATCGAACAGATTCACTTGAAACTTGTACAGATAAAACATCCCCTACTCTCTTGCATTATTTCTAACTTTTTAAATTTTCAAAACTTCAGAGAGTTCAATGAAACTGAGACCTGCGCCGAACTGTCGTCCAAACAGTGGTTTGCAAATCCCCAGTGGTACGAGAGCTTTGTTTAAACTAGTGGTGTTACAAATGCACATACTTTCTCTTATTATTTGTAAATATACAATTTTTGAACATTTTGAGAGTTCAATGAAAATGATACCCGTGCCATTCTTTTAAGCTCTCTTGTACTATCCATGGAAAAAATTTTAAGAAAAATTTAGTGTGGTTTTTGAAAAAATGTTTTTGTTTTTATTTGTAATAATTTCAAGCAGAAATTAAATGAAAACTGCTAGTTTTTTTCTTTTCTTTTCTTTTCTTTTCTTTTCTTTTCTTTTCTTTTCTTTTCTTTTTTCTTTTCTTTTCTTTTTTCTTTTCTTTTCTTTTTTCTTTTCTTTTTTCTTTTCTTTTTTCTTTTCTTTTCTTTTCTTTTCTTTTCTTTTCTTTTCTTTTTCTTTTTTTCCGTCTTTTTCTTCTTCTTCTTCTTCTTCTTCTTCTTCTTCTTCCAAAAAATAATACATGACCATTTTTAATGATCTTTGTATTTAGAACAAATTTTATTTGAGACAAAAATATCTTATCTTCAATATTGATATTGTACTTTTGTTCGCCCAGAATAAGACTTATCACAATTTTTATTATACTGTTGTTTGTGCATGTGATGAGAAAATTTTTTAAAAAATTGAACTGTTTTTGAGAAAATAAGGGTTTAAATTGAATATGTTGCTTTGTCTGTTCCCACAATAGATGTTTTAAGAATTCTCACTGATAATGTTTGTCATAGCCTTGTATATAATTTGACTGTTTATTCCAGAAATGTTCAAAATTTTAAAAAAAAAAATATCTCATTGGCCACTTTGAAGGTACTCAGGCTACTGAGTATTCCTCTTTCAGTCTGTCTATCCTCTTGTCTACTCCTCTTGTGGTATAATTGCAAAATGCCAGAATTTCGTGTTTCTGATGTTCTCCTGAATTCGGATCTATTTTGCCAGTCATGATATGTACTGAGCAGCAGCACAATTTCTTTGTCCTCACCTTTGGAACATAAAAAAGAACAACTTTCTTTTCATTCAATGCAAACATGTTGCTTGGTACTGGTGTTATTATGATATTAAAAAATAGTGGAGGACTTTTCCTTTGTATTTCACGTAATGTTCCAGCTATTATTGTTCATTTCTACAATAATTCATTAGCCAAAAATATTGCAATAAAGTAGTTATCCACTGTTATATTTCTACCAGTGCTCATGATGATAATGATGAGAATTGTCAAAATTATATGAACAAAAGGGTGCTTTCCAGAATATATTTCCAAATTACTGGTGTAAAATGTGTATAAGACTCAGAGTGCATATATTTTTTTGCCATATTTGACTGCTTGCTTGCCATGCAGGCATAGAATTTGCAACAACCTCTAAATGACGAACCTTTCATCAATTGTGAGACATTTCCCTACCACAATTGGCTTGACAGTACCTCACAAAACTATCAAATATATTCCTAATTGGAGCAAGATTATCGATCTGATATCGTCAAAAAATGTGAATTTGTAACATCAAATAGTATGGCCCTTATTATGAAAGTAAATCTAGGAAGGCTCGTTGTACTTTGAAAAATATCGGGTTCAGTACCATCATTATTTGACATTTAACGTAAATGTCATGACGCGTAAATTGAAGCGATTCATTTTCTTAATGCCTGGCATAAAAAGTAAATCAATAAATGATATAATTTCTATATCATCCATTCCTCTGGAATCCTTCTCATGCATGTAACATTCTTTTAGTTTTTTAACATGAATGTTAGTAAATTCAACAATATCTTTCACCATATCATCTTTGAAAAACAATGGAAAGCATTCTGATATTGTTTTGGCAGTGCTTATTTATTTTTGGCTTCTATATTTATTCCAGGAGTACAGAGTACAATATTATGTAAAGCTCTCGTTACATTGTAACAAGGAGCTTAATAATTCCATTTTGTCTTGCTGTCTCTCCCTAAAATATATGGATTACTTGTGAAATGGGCTTCCCCATCATGAGAAACTGATTGCTCTGTAACTGTGTTGTGTTCCCTTACTGTATCTCTCAACTCTTTTAAGTTTCAACTTTAATATTTTTAAGCGTCTCTTCCTTTTCTAGTCATGCCAGAATGACATCGTGATTCTTCCCCTTCAAAGAAATCATAATCATTTTAAAATTTACTTGTAAAATGTGTTAATAAATACTGCATCAATAAATAAGTTAAATAAAAATATTTAATATTATAATGGAAGTGATTTCCTAGGCAAGGGCCTATCAGCAAAAAGGTAGTTTTGAGAAAAACAATTGAAAGATTACCCCACTTTTATTTAATATCATAGTTAAGTTCAACATCAAACTGAAATAATTGCTGATGTAATGAACACCTTCAAAAAGTATGTATCAAGTCATTTGTGTGACTTGATATTATTACGTATTTCAACCTAATTTTTAATAGTACTTATGTGTCTTTCTTTCAAAGAATGCAAAATGTGAAAAATAAGATTACGATGCAATTTACGTTGTGTAGGAAATTAAACAAATTTAAAGAAGTGAAACAAGTGGATGCAAAACATTTTTACAAAGAATTCATTTGAATTTCCTCTGTAATACATTCAACCCAATTCCTGTCTGCGGGTGACAAGATGATCTGTAACACCTTTGACTTTTGTTGGTTTAATGCCATTATAAGGGATGTGATTCAAGGTAATATTTAGTTTTAGATTTCTTGTCAATCATATTTATGGGCTTCTATTAAATTCAATGAATTTGCGAATAACAGTATAATATTCAATTATTTATAAATAGAGAGCAGATTTTCATGATTTCACTTATTTTTTCCCATTACTTCAGGGCATAGCTAAGTAAAATTGCTAGACATTTGGTGAGAATTGGATGCTATATAGATTAATATGTTAGTGCATACTTAGCCGATTTTTCCAGTTGGTGAATATTTATTTAATTATAGGAGCATATTTTGCATATTTTTTTAAAATAGAGCCTTATCTGTGAAACGTCGCGTGTTTTCATAGAATCTATTTATTTGTGAGCGTTGTTAGATTAGAAAGGGCTTGTCACATTTTAAGTTTTTTCTTTTCTAGAAACCTTAAAATACTTGTGTAAATGTTGGATATTTTTCGATATCATATTTTTTAAACCAGACAGAAAAAATGAAACAAAAACATACAGTGTACTTAACTAAGATTCATATTTACTTCAATTATTTCTCCCACGAAGGAAGCTTTGTTATGTTATGTTTGCACAAATCTTTTCGTTCCTACCATGCTTCTCCTGAATTTTATCAAGAATGTTTTATATAGGAAAGAAATACTATTAATTTAAATGGATATGAAAGTGCATATTTCAGAGTTTTCGGGCATGAAAATCCTCTCCCAATTTATAAACGTTTGGTCATGACCAAAAACAGTCTAAAGGGCTAACAATGACATGAGCTAGAAAATGACCTGCTGCATCAGTTATCTTGGTAGAAATTCTGATCTCCGTAGTTTTAGTTTTCTTCTCACATTATTCCCCAACAATTAGATAAGAGCATTTTAAGAGAAATAAATAAATGATATCTGTTTTTTTTTACATCAAGTGTGAAAAAATATTTTATCCCATCACCATTTATGAAACTGCTTATTTTTAAATTCAAGTAATTCAATTTTTCAAAAGTTGTAGGGATTGCAAAACTTGATTTTGCCGCAAATAGGCATTCATTTCTTTAAATAGGCATTTAAAGTTAGTTTTTTAAACGCAAAATAGAAAATCGCTATTGAAACCTCAAAGATGTCTTTTGTTGTGATTTGTTTTTAAAATCTAGGTAAATTACATGATTAAAAAAAGACATTTTGGTTCAGGTTTCTAATTATCACTGATGTCTGTGATGTGATTAGCTTGTGTTAAAGTATTGTGTTAGAAGAATGTTGATAGAAATATATTGAACAGGAATTAGTCATATTCCAATTAAAAATCTCTCACTCGTTTTTATAACTTAGTAGTTTCTTAATATTATTTTTTTCAGTTCACCCTATCATTTCTTGATGAATGTGATAAAATAAAAATTCTCATGCATCTGCATTCATTTGCTTACGATTATCACCTACGAAGTATAAGTTCTTATGTGTCTGGGCACCATGCAATTCTGAAACAGGGTTACCATCTGACCCATTTCTTGGATGATTTTCTAAAATATTATTCAAAGGCACCAAACTTCGCAAGAAACCTTGTTTATGCTGGTATGTTTATATTATTGGAATTTGATAAATAGATGATTTATAAATATAAAATTAGAATCATGATTTTGAAAATAATTTTTCATTCTGTATGTATATAGATATGCTTTCTGTGAGCAATGTTACTACTCCACCTCAACAACTTTTTAACTACCTTCTGAGCCATGAGAAAGTGTACAAAATGGAAGTATTCCGTATGGCACCTGTAACTCATGAAACCGACTCTTCTGTTGTGAGTATTGCTTTCACAACATTTCATTTGATTTTGTGTATGGTGTTTTATGTCTGTCTTGTAAACACAAATTAAAATATATCCCGTGTAACATTTGTGATTTGGTCAATTTTGTGTGTTGTCTCCTTCCCTCTCTCATCCCCTTTCTCTCTGACCTCACTCTCTCAGTCTTCTTATATTCCCTTTCTTCCCCTCTTTCTATCCTGCCTCTCTCCTCCTCTTTCTGTCATCCGTCTCCTCCCTTGCTGTCATCCCTATCTTCCCCTTCTCACAGTTCTGCCTCCCTCACGTTCTTTCTCAATGTTCTCCCTCTCTCCTTTCTCTCTGTCCATCTCTTTCTCTCTCCCTCTCCCCCTCTCCCTCCCACCTTTCCTCGCACTCTCCATCAGCGTTTTTTTTCTGTTTTCTCACAGTAGCTTTCAAACTTTCAGTAAATGCAATTAACCTACAACCTGTATCAATGGCCTGAGTTATTGTAAGGTCAATAATTAAATGAATGAATTATAATGAATCCCATAGATTTGGCCCTGAGGTGTTAATTATACTTCAAATATTTTATTCAAATGAGTTGTTTTTACTCCAGTTATTCTTTCATGAGTATTTTGTATTCTGTGGACAACGTATATATCTTTTTATTTGTTGCAGGACAATGAATATGTTCTTGTGCAATTAGAAAATATGCCTCATGTCACGTATAGAGATGCTCATGACATGAGTCACACTGATGAATTTAGTGTCACTCTCATTGTTTCTCATGATTCAGTGCCACATGAAAAACAGGATATCACAGATCAGTCAACATTACATTTGAAGTATTATATCATTTTAACTAGTACAAGGTAAGTTATATGTAATGCACGATTTTTGTTTTTTTCCTTTGTTTTGGGAATAAGAAAAATAATGTAATGCCCTTTTATGATCTGAGAAAAAATTGAGCAAATAATATAATACTCTATTATTGTTATCTACTATAACCTCCTGAATTAATGCCGATCTGAAGCTTTAAAACATACATAACTTAATTTTTATGACAATATATGTCAATGGTTTTTCCAAAATGCATTGTATGGCACTATGTGTGTGTGGAAGATATGAAAATTTGTATCAGTGTGTAACATAATAAGAAGTATTCATTAACATGAATAGCAGCTGCTAATAAAAAAATTAGCTTTTATGAATCAGTGACGGCTTTTGGACAAATGGTCTGCATAGGTAAAACAGATTTTAGAACACAGAACCATGTCTCTTCTGAATCCAATATTTCATAGGCATAATCCAATTAATGATTATAATATTTTTCTAGGTAACATTAAATTTATTTGTTTGGAAGTGACTATGTATACCAACTATTTTTATTACATTGATTGTATCCATTGCTTTCTTTAGACAGTCAATTTTTCGACATATCAGTGAATATCCGTGGATTCCCATGGAAACTGCTTATTGAAAGAATATATCCATCAGTTAAATTCTTTAATAAGAATTACAAAAATTGTTTAGTCATAATAAAATATAATTTATTAAAATGTTTTATGTAAAATATATATTTTGCTGACTCCCTTGCAAAGCATGCTACTACTTTACACTCATTCCCATGCCTTTTGTCAGAATTAGACTTGAAGTGAGGCACCTCCCTCAGAATGTGCCTACTGAGAGTGCGAGAAATTGTAGGAAGAGAGAAAACTAGACTGATCACACAGGCTTATAAAAAACTTAGAGTAAGAATTATTCCTTACAACATTATGGAATATTTGTTTTGTATTACCATGTGAAAAAAAAATTACACAATACTAAAATAGTAAGTCTTTTTAATTTAATTATATGTAAAAATGTATTAAACTAATAAATCTCCATCAAGGTAGGCACTTCCTACCCAAAAGGAGCCACCACTGGTAGTAATTGAAAACAGTACTAATATTTACTTTGTTTAGGGTGCTCAGTCTTTAATCTTCAGCATTAACAGTCTTACACACATTATTGAATTACTCCCAGCCCCTTGGAAGATAGCGGCATGAAGATTTGGATGATAAATTAGCATTTTCTTTAGCTAAACCCTGGTAATTACTCAAACGTAGAAGCATGAAATCACCTTGAAGACGCAATATGAGTCTTTTGGACTCGTGGATTATTATACTACATTTTCTAAGGCATTGTATGCTTGTTGGTGATGCATGTTTTCTTGTAACATTTTAGGATCATAACAAGATATACTAGTGCTGTTACAAAATGGCACAGATTTTGTCAGACAATTTGTAAGTTACATAAAATGATAATGAAAATGTTACAATTTAAAAAAGTTGATCGAGCCATTATGATCACTGCCATATTTACCCGAATATATTAGTTTTTTGTTATTATGTTATTTCTAAATATCTATAATTTTGGGAGACATATTCTCGGCATCCTCTGCAATTTGCCCATTGATTCAAATCAATTTTTTTGAAATGGCCTATGAAAAACAAGCCTTAAATGAATGGCATTGTATCATGTGAAATGCAGGGTGAAAATCACACCGTGGTGAAAATTAATAATAGTAATTGCTGAGATTTTGTTAAATGATGTGCTGATCGACCAGGTCACATGGACTTCCAGTTTGATGCCCACTAAGTGTGAATCTGCGTTTGCAAGAGATGGTAACGAAAATATTCCCATGTACAACTCATGGACTGTTACACTACATTTACATACCCATGTTACCCATGAAACGGAGGAACAGAAATGCAGTTCACAACACAATCACAAGCATTAAATGATACAAATTTCAAGTATATTCTTTTAAGAATATGTGAATGGTATGTTAAAGAATCAGAGTTCACGAACAAGAATCGGCCGGGAAGAAAAAGCTGGTGATGCACATGAAATAAGCAAACAGTCATAAATAAAACTGAAGTTGAAAAAACCCATGTTCAACAAACCAGTGTGTGTGTGTGTGCAGGACTCATCTTACACTTTCTAGGGTTAACTTTCAATAAAAATAAAGACAAACTCTAATCATCTCTGAATAAAAGGGCATTACATTCTTGAGCAGTTAAGATTTGTTAATTCCATGTCCACTGTGTGTCATTTCAGTATTATTTCTTTGAAACACTGATTTATTATGTACGATAGGTGGATTTGTAATACATATGACATAATCTATGATTCATATTTCATTGTGTAAATAGCGTTCTGTCTGTCTACATGCCTCGCTCTCCCTCCCTCTCTCCCCATTCTCCTCTCTTTGACACAGCCTTCTTTTCTCCTTCCCCTTTTTTCTTTCCTCATTCTGCTCTTTTCTTTCTCCCTATCTCCTAAACTGCTATCATATCTTCTCACACATACTCCTCCTTACCTTCAATCTCACCCAGTGCCAATGATGATTGTTGTATTAGTGTGTTTTGTATAGTTAAATTCAAAGCCAGAATTCAGTGTTAGGTATCAAAATACGATCTTGATGATGTTTTAAAAAGTAACAGAATTTGGTATTACTTAAAGACGATGTATCAAAGTATAATAAGAATCCATACAATTCAGATGTCATTTTTCTAATGGAGGTAAGTTGATCACTTATTATGTGAAGAGTAATGATTAAAGCTACTGTCAAATATCTCTGAACATTGAACATTGTGATGTCTTATTTCATTTCTATTCTCATGCGTTCCCATAAGACTTTGTCCAAGAAAGGTAGCTGAATCAGTGTACATTGCAAATTACTGTAAAACAACTGGTTTCCAGTGTATTTGAATGTAATAGAATTTTTAGTAATGGTTTTAGTGACTTATTTTTTGGTGATTCGTAGGAAAATGTACAAATTAAATAGTTCAAAATATCAATTAAATATATGAATATTGGAATGCCTGTACATGTATTTTCCCTTTTGTCTAATATGTAATGTCTTCATTCAATGTTACTTTAACATATGTTTTCCTATATATTTTGGTGTGCTTAATACAAGTGCGGTACCTATCTGACTTAAGTACCAACTTATTAATTCCAAGCACACTGTTCAGAAAGTATTTTTAATATTTTTCATTTGGTTTTAAATTATATAGTTAGAATATGTTATAATCTGTAAGCAAAATATATATAAACAAATTTCTAGAAAATCATAAAAATTATTTTTTGGGAATGTACACTGGATACCATCGTCCATAAGATGACCTGTGATGCAGGCCAATTCACTTATATTAAGTAGCTAAAGGCTTTATTTCTTATGAAACGATTCTATGTTAAAGTATTATTTCATTATTTCTTCATTAATTATTAATTATCATTGTTCATGTTCTTTGCTTGTCTCTTTGAGAGACAAAATTAGTTTAAAATACTCTTGCAAGCCCATAATTTTTCCATCTGATCATAAAATCTTGTAATTATTTAGGTTTTGTTCATCAGAAGACAATAAATTCAAAGCATCCATTAGCATGCTGTTTCTTTCAGTAAGCATTTCAACAAATTCTGAAAGAAAATCAAAATACCCAACAACATATGTTTTTATTTTCATACTATGTAATGTTGATAAAAGTTTTATTATGTTGTCTGCAGTGTTTGCTAGTTTCTTGAGGAACCCCCCTCAAACAGAGCGGGTTATTTGCTCTTTCTAACTAATGTTTCTGACATTCATGACCACGGTATATGCAAACTATGGACTGTTGTGCTACACATTGTGCATTAAGAGTTTTTGGCTTTAGCATAACAATTTGATTGCTGCACTGTAGTTTGTAAAAATAACAAATGATATACTGGTGTTAAACACACTATTTTGTTTGTTGTGATGCAATGAACAGAGTGTACAGGTGATTTTGACATGCAATAATTTTCTTCATATCTTGGAATTTATTTCTTTTATTCTGTGAGTAAATCAGCACGATTTGTGTTTTTGTGGTTTTGCATGTTGTTCTTGACTGATTTAAGCATGAAATATATAAAATGTTTTTGAAGATTTCTTCTTAAAATGTGCACAGTTTAATCAAATAAAAATAGTTAATAAAATTATTTATTTTCTGGAGCATTCCTGAAATGGAAGAAAAATTATGTTTTAAAAAGGAAATTCCTGCAGGAACAATTGAGCATTGGGTGTTCTGACAAATAAAACTTTAGCTTTTTTCTCCCAGTAGAAAATAATAGAATTCTAGAGTCAATTAGTTATTTATCCTTGAATGCTCTGTGAAATGTTTGCATTATTTCATCCACAAAAAGTATTTTCATGCCATATAAAAGTTTACCTGACCACTTTATTAAAACATTACGATGTTAATCATAGACACTTACACTTAAGAATTACCTACAAATTTTGTTTTATGTTGAAATAAAGGCTCTAGTTGGATAGAATGGTAAAAAGTCCCCTAGCTTGTAATTGAAAATACAAGTTTTCCTAAGAATTGTTACCACAAAAACCTTTTTTTCATGAAGTTTTAGGTTCCTCCCCCCTGCACATCCTTTGTAATAATGAAAAATGTGTTTTTAATTATTTTTTCTTCATTGAATTGGCCAAATGAATTTCCATTGAAAATAATTATTCTCTATGTGAAATGTACTCAGTTTTTCAAAAATAATTTTTAGTATTTCATTTGTCGCAAAATTCGAACTTTTAAATGGATTTTAAAATTTTGGAATGTTTTAAAAGTAGGTTTTAATTCCGCTCGGTGCACGAGAAAATTCTCATATGTTGTCCTAAAAATCAGCTATTTTTGGGATCTTTTCTGATTGGTGCGCTATGTTTAAAAAAATTAAAATATATATTTTTGTCCCATTATTTTCATGTATTTAGAATTGTGTAGAGGTATGTACAGTAATTACAATATTTTTTCTAGCGGCAATATTTGAAATATTAAAAAGCTAATATTAATATAGTAGTTTACGT